TTTAGTACAGATAAAGTACATTACAAACTTTCATCAGTTCATCAGTCTGTCCTGGATAAGGTGAAGAAAAGCTGCTTGTGCATTACATTCTTCAAGTTCGATTGTAAATATATTAAGGAGTTTTGAGGTTGAGTATTTTAGTTGATTATTTTGGTCTTCTTCCTATCCATGACCGAAAAGTTTGAAAAAAAAGTCGAGGAAAGGAAGCAAAATAGTTATAACAGTTGTCATCCCAATACGCTAGAATTTTTATTTTTTAAAGAAAATTTCTTCAATATAGTGTGTCAAGCTTTTATTTGATTTTCATAACCTTAATGTAATACTCCTTCCTGATATGCTTGTAAGAGAAGATGTTATATAATCGGATCAAGTTTTATCGCTAATTCCACTGAAATGTCATGTTATAGTTGGCTAAAAACACTAAAGATCTGCACCACTTTCTTTGCAGGAACTAAGGAACAGCTAATACTATTGTAATCTACGGGAATGTGCCCAGCTATAAGAATAAAATACCGTTTGCATTAACCGGAAAAGAATTTGAACTCAATCCGCCACAGGAAAGGCATACATAGCATATCCGAACGAGAGCTATGTACTCTGAAAAATGTCAAAAACAGCCTCCATTGAAGGGCTTTCCATAGGAAATGCGGTATTTGGGGGATTTTTCTTTCTTTTGCTCGGATTTATCGTGAGTCTGACTCATGCCCTATCTGACACAAATATACTGTGCTTATGCTGATGACAACATCTTATCCTAAAGCTCTTAGCAAAAACAAATTCCTATAATGGTACGCAAACAAAGCCAATGAAGCCATTTGATGTCAGTGTTGGATAAAAGCAAGCCTAGCAGATGACGAGCTATACTGGGATTAGTAAAGAAGTCGTAGAAGAAGCACCCGCTTGCACAGTTATCACAGGAAAATGAGCTTACAACAAACCAAATCTCACATGAAGGCTTCTGCTTTTTTTGCTGGGAGTTATGCTGGAATGTTCATCCGTCAGTAAATGGATGTAAAAAAAGGTTTAGAGAGTTTTAGGCGTGAGACGGTATCAGTTTTTCAATTCCACTATTCATCTGATCTATCTAGGCCTGTTGAGCTGAGATTACACAATTGGTTACAGTAACCTCAAGTAAGAAGCAAAGGCGAAAAATTTAACGCATAAAAAAGTTGAGTTGAATGGAGATGATGTATATTGATAATTCAATAATCAGACTTGTTGAATTATATGCTAACGAGAACTGGTCTTATAAGCTATTAGTCAGTGACCCACATATGTGACTTCGCTGTGCTTAAGAAAAAACCAAAATTCGTTGGTACGGTAATCAAATAATATAGGTACATAGTCGAACTTGCAAAAAAGGAAACTTTTATTCTTAAAATAATAAGCTAATGTTCGTTTTTTGCTCAAGTATCCAGGTCCTCCATTGGATAGGGTTAATCAAGAATAGCTTGTAGGAAAAATAAATCAAATCTCTTTGGCAAGTTGTTTAGACCTCTACCAACTGTGAATTCACATACGGCTTTGAAAATGTCGATGAAATAATCACTGTTTTTGGCGCTTATTTTCTGATTCGTGAAGCTATTTTGGGGACTTATATGCGCTTAAAAAATTCAAGGATCCATTTTCCTTTTTTGTCTCTTTGCTGAGCTTTTTTTGTTTTGTTTTCAACGTTTTCAAGCCCTAGTTTATCTTGAGCACAAACTTCAAGCTTTTTGTTTGGATTACAAGGACAACATGTAGCATTTCTACATCATTTAGTTGTTGAAACAAACGAAAATTGCTGGAAATTGCCTCGATTTTTCGCATTCGAAACATGTGTTTTTTGATTGCAAGAAATAGGCAAAGATTTTGACTATGAAAATTGCTGAAACAATGTCCTGTGTTGCCTTCGCACATCCTTCTCACACCTTCGTCTAACCACATCTGGAATTCTCTACCTTTCAGCTTTTTCCTCCTTCAAAAACGGCCTACCATACTGCTCGTCATTTGCTATGCGTCGTTTTGACTTCAGAAGGGTTCATATGGAGCATTCAAGAACACTTTGTATATACATATGTCACTGGGCCAAACAGCAAATGTGCCTTTGCACCATTTGTTACATGTTTATGGCCTTTTTATGACAGCAGTAATAAATCTGTTGAAGACGCAGAAGAGCTCAAAGCTTATCATTTATGTCGATCGCCCACTGAGTTCGCTTCTCTTTTCCCAGTCGGGAATGTTTTTTACAAGTTTGCCCAGATAATCTTCGTTTACTATTTCAAAACTAAAGCAGAGTGTCCCAAAAGAATGTATCGAACATTGCTAATGACTCCCTTGTGTGAAGAGCTTCGGCAGATCTTCAGATAGCATATTGTAGTGCTAACTTCAACCTAGTTTTGTGATAGAAAAGGTATCAGAGACCCTTTTCTATTACTGCAGGATCACTGTAAGAACTTTTGCAAAAAAAATTGCGCCTACGAAAGCATATACCCAAGAAATTACTCGAAAAAGTGGAAACTGCTATCTCTACATATTTTTTTGCTTCACTATAACATCTGGATCCAAGGCTACGACAGATGTCTTCGTTATAATATTACAAGAAACCATCTAAATTGCTCTGTAAATATGTACAAATTTATGCAGTTGAATCAATGGACCGTAAAAATCTTACCATAAAAATTCTCTGGAATTTTTGGAATTTTCCTTGAAATGGCAGCTGATTTGTAATGACACCATTTCCTAGAAGCTCCTATCGTAATCTATTACAGTAACAAAGATCTTCGAGCCAGTCCTGCAATATTGTGCCCAAAAGTGATTTTAGGCACAACGTTCTGTTCTGTTCTGTTCTGACAAGAAACTCTTTCAGTATCAAATATTCAATAAAGTCGTACACTCTGTATATTAGTTCAATTTTGTATTAGGCACCTTTATACGCTTGTAAATTAAAAATGCATTTAAACTCTTGGTTTGCACCTGCTGAGATCTAGAAAGAAAGTACGAGCTTAAGCTTTAATATTCGTTTTCTTACCTCAGTACTAGTTCAATTTATAAGAGCTCTTGCCAGGAAATGGTCGCTATTAGGAATTTTCGTTCCAATAACATTCCTCTGCTCTCGCTAGAGGTCAAATCGACTTTTTCCTCGAGTTTACGAGATGAGAGAGTAACAAAATCTAGGTCTGAATGGCAGCTATCAGCTGTAAAGGAATCTGGCTCATAATTTAAAAGATCTTTTCAACATTTTCACAAGTTTACCCGAATCTAAAAATTTTCAACAATTTGGTGTCCCCTAGCACTAAAATGCAACGATGGTTTACTCATGTTGCTCTAGAATAACTGGAGTTGATTGGATAAATGTAGTAATTCCGTTTGAAAAACTGTTGGCAGATATTTGAACTAGTTTTCCATGGGCGTATGTGTTCTAACGGTCTTGAAGTTCTGAAGTTATGTAACACCTAATTGGGACGAATCGTCACTTGGAATATGTAGTTCTGAAAGATGTACACTAGTAATGAAATAACAATAATGAGAGATCCAATAAGAGCTGCATTAAACTTTGTTGCTATTTTCACACTTAGAAATGCTCGAGGCAAAGTTTACATGTCCATTCCTCAAACAAAGAAGTGCTCGGCTCTAATAATATACAACGGCTTAGCGTAGCTCGTTTTTCCAGACTGATCTTTTATCCTGATAAATGTACCAGATTGTTACTTGGAAAAAAGCATGCTGAAAAATTTACTTGTTTGCTTCTCTATACAATGTATTCAGAGCTGTTACCTTGACAACTCATGAAATCCTTAAGGTTTTTGTGCTATAATAATCTTCTTAGAGATTGCCCTCATCAAAGAAGTGGTACTATTGCAGCAGGTGCCTGTTTTTTCCTTCCAAGTTCATTATTTCAATTGAACCGACGAAACTTGCTATGATATAATTCTATTTTGCTTACGCAATAACAACAATGCAGAGCTGCTAAGTAAATGTTTTTGCTAGTCATCGTTTATAAGAATTATTTTTATTGTTCGATTACTATTTGACGTGGGTAGGCGTTAGGAGTACAAGCGATTTCGTGCGTCACACATGTTACATACATAAATTTTATATGAAGGAGAGAAGAAAGGCGAGGAAGGAGACTATACAGAAGTATAATAACTGTACATTCACCAGATATAGCTACCAAACTTTCTGGCCAAGAAGTTTTTTCATACGTTTGCCCTCAAGTATAGATATTCTCATTTACATAATATGCAAAATGTTGGAGGTGAATGATGTCCCTATGATTTAAATTCGAAATAAAATGGTTTTTCAATCAGCGTAGTCGTTGACCAAATAGCGAATCTATTGAATAGCGTAAATTCAACCAACGATAATAGGTCATTTCTTAGGCGTGCCCATGTCTTGGAAGTCATACATACATTTTTGAAGATGTTTAGTTAGATGACTTTAACATTAACAAAAGTTACCAAGTCCATTTTTGAATCTGAAGCTTCATCTTTTGAGCTCTCATTCTTTGAGGGTGAAAATCTGTGTATTCAACTTGTATGCTCCATTTCAAAGCAAAAAACGCTTTTTGTAGCCAGGGCTCGGCACAGGGTGGCTTTTGGAAAATGCAAAAACGAAGTCTCCCTCGTCTTTCGCGGATTTTGACGAAGTCCCCTTTGATCCTAACTCTAAGCGCAAAAAACCCTAAAAGAACGAAACGTCGACTCAACAAAAACATCGCAATTTTTGTGTCTTTCGGCATCGAAAACGATACCCTCTTTGCTTTTTGTCCCAGAAACGACATTCAGCTTGCTTCCATGCCACCTATGCCGAGCCCTGCTTGTAGCTCAACGTTATCAGCTTTTGTGCTGCTTTGTGATAGTAATAAGCGCTTCAAAAAGACTCGTGCTGCCTGTTGAATTTACCGAAATCATTTTTGCGGCAACATAATACAGAGAATTCGTTCAATGAACTGTACCTAATCCAGCTTAGAATTTCAGTCTATCGGCGCCGATTTCCCTTTCTAAACAATTGAATTCCAGATGAAAAATATGTGAATGGTGGTGTGCGCTTCGATACAGCGATAAGTGAAGAGGCCACCAAAGTCGTCACTGCTCCGCGGCCAATTCGGCGTCGTCAAAGTGGCTACGGTATCTCCATTTCAAGGTAAGTTGCGATTATGGCAGAAAGGTGGTATGTGCACAAAAACACCCAATTAGCCATGAAAAATAAAGCAGAATTGAGGACAAGGATTCAATTTTTTCTGGTAAAAAGAGATCATCGACAGAAATTATCGAGAAAACATTTACATTTATAGGCTAATGGGGTTGGTTATTCATTTATTTGAAACTATAAGTACCCTAACACGCGTATAAGGCGCACTTTTTCGAATTTTCAAGCGAGCCGCTCAGCCGCTTTACTGTATTCCGGAAAGAAATCCTTACATCGTACGATTCTTTCAAGCAATATACAGCACGTTATAGGGTCCTTTGGTTGGAAAGTCTGGCTTGTCTGGGCTGGTCGATTTTGGAAAAAAATCCCTCGCGCCTTATATGCGTGAAAATATGGTAACTTATAAGGGAAGTCCTGACGTGCGATCATATAAGTAAGCGGACGCTGTGGTGCAAATTTGCGTTTTTTTGCTTTCCAATCGCGGAGAGGTTAACACCTTGCTATATTGTTCATCGGAATGATTCAAGGTTCGTCGCGAATTTCCTAGCAAAGATTTTTTATGCGACCTTGTGACCTGGATACAGATTATAATGATTTATGCTTGCCAGAGCTATTTAGAATACCCAACAGTGGAAGAGTACAAAAACTGTCAGATGATGCAAGTAAAATAAACTTCCTCGACAAATCTCAGCATTATTTTCAAATCCCCTACTGTGCAAAACTAAAATAGCTGTATTTCGCTTCATTTGAGCTCTATATATGTATACCAAAGTACATATTCTTGATTAGGCTAAAAGTCTTAACTTCCGCTACAAATATGTAAAAGAAAATCAATTTCTCCAGAAGTACAAAAATGTCAACAACTATCTTAAATGTCATCACGTGGCTTTACTTTATATTCGGCTTATTTTGCAAGTTCAGAGTATGAATTTCAAGTGATCATTTTCTTCAAGAAACACAGTTACGCAATTACACAGCTAGAAATTCAGAAAATGTTAATATTTTGTGCCAAAAAAATTTTTTCGATCTGCTATCGAGGTCTGAAAAGGAGTCGAAAAAACTGTGCCAATGCACAGCGAGAGCTCCTGTTAATCCCGACGGTCAGATAATTCATTCATATCTATAATGCTTGCTGGTCAAGCTTCGCACTTTATCAGATGGGCATAGTAGTCATTTGAAGTACCTTTCTCGAATAACTCGGAAATGTCAAATCATGAATATTGGCCAAGAAAGGCGTTTTCCTCCCACGCGTTTTTAGACGCGGCAGAAATCGAATACCCGTGACTAAGTTTTGTCATTTGTTAGCATGACGTTAGCGCTTCCGTTAATCGTATTGTTTCCACCGAAAAGTGCATCAAAAACCTTAGTCAAGCGGCTTATCAAAAATTTCATTTACGGAATTGCTGGATGATTCATCAGATATTACTGTAAGTGCGAGAGTCACAGCTAGCAGAGATTCTTTTGCAGATAAAAAAGTTAGCTCACTTGAGACTGGAAAAGGAACTATCTAATTAGTCTTAGTATTTCCTCAGAACATATTTTCACCATAGTTGTGATCCATAAAGCATGGTCTATCCTTAAGTAACCAGTTGACAATGAGAATTGTTAGTGCTGAGTTCTTCATATAATCAAGTACATTTTTACGAATACCAAATCAATGCAATAATGCAGATGCAGTAAACACTGACAAATTGTTTTTGAATCCAACGCACGAAGGAGAAGCAGTTTTTGGTGCAAACACATATCCCCTAGGCTATTCTCAACACCTTTAGCTAATCTTTCATTTAACTCTATAATTGTTTACGCGATTCTAGCCTAGGTGGCTAGTCTAGCGACGACGTAAACATTATCGCTAACTAGAGAGAGTATTCTTAAGCTACCGATTCTCGCACATTGGTAACGCGAGCTTAGTTTAACATTTTTTGCTCCATTTTGCTCAGTGCTTATCTCTAGAATAATAGAGGTAGCCTGATCGAGTGTTTGGGAAATGTGTGTGTGATTAATCTGATTGGTTTATACCAAATTCCGAAGGCGTAAGTGCAAACGTACTATCGGAGAATTCAATATTTTTCAGCCACATGTGCGATTGCCTTCTTTCTCTTCTCGAGTGGCAAAATTCGAGAATAAAGTATTTTTTTATTTTATGATAAATGCCAGTTTTGGAAATTCTATTCCTAATTTCCATAAGGGTCTTCCTTCTTCGGTTTTTGGCACGTTAGGCTATATTTAAAAGGTTCTTTCAAAAAATTGAAAAAATAACCTCACATTTGTTTTCTACTTTTTTATGTTCATCATACTCCCAGGCCTAGGACAAAATAATTACAAGAGCGTGGTGCAATAACAACAATTACTACTTTTTTGATGTTCTCCATACTCTTATAAACTAATTACTTTAAACTTTTCACTTTCATCATACACCTAAAAATAATAATAATTATTCACATCAGCATAGTGCTAACAAAAATTACTCTTCACTTTTTTGTTTCTCATATTTTGTGAAAAAAATAATCAGATACAAGGCGCAGTGCAATTATTTTATACTCTTTTGATGTTCACTAATCCCGAAAGAAATAAATAGACACAATAGCAAGCAATATACTCAGAATCACTTCATACTCTCCATAGGTTTCCTTGGAAACGGTAAGAATCCGAACTCAAAAAATCAACAAATTAGGTATCAAGGATCAAGGTATATGTCAGAAAGATCTGGCCTGTTCGCCTGAATTTTCCACATTCTAATGAACATAACGTATAGTGCTTTCCCATCACCTTTGCTCTTTCCCACAGATAGAGATTGAACGCTTCGGAGGGAGTGCTTAATGACGAGTAACCGCCGCTATCGGCTTCGTTCGTGGGCTACTATTCAGATCTGAGTGCTCTCCTGGGATTCACAATTCACTCCGCCTTGGCATCATGGTCACTACATCCATTTCCGGACATTTTTTATGACCACAAAGGCATAGGTCTTTTTTCAAATTTGTATTTTTCGTGGGTGGTATAGTGAAAGTCGAGTCATCTATGTGCAAACAGTTTCTCGACAAAATTGTACTGCAAGCATCTTTCGTTCTTAAATCTGAGTTTTTAGGATTTTTTGGATGTTTAAAGAGAAATTTCTTCAAAGGACTTCTACTTTTGCAAGTTCGAAACATACAATCCCTCTTTTGCAACATTTCTCTTGGTCTGGGACTTCGAAAGTTTGAGCTGCGGATTGTGGTAGTGCAGCTATAGAAACGGCTGTCAACCTTTAGGATAGGCCTACGAATGCATCCATTATTTTCTCAAATAAATGATGTGTGTATAGCTTCAGCGAATCCTTTCAAATCTCGAGCTTATCCGTTGCGATACTGCTTTAAACGTATAAAATCAAGCAAAAACGGTTTTATCCATTCCAGAATTGTTCTACTTCTGAAGCCGTAATCCCTGAAAAAATTTGATAAACCAGAGTGGTTTGTGTGAAGACGCTTAGCTAATAAGATGTTTACAACACCTCCTACTGGTTCGCGTTTCCAACAGCGTCCGAACAATTTAGCGGTTGAGACGGGCACGGCTCCCTCCCTCTTTAAATTATAGAAAACAAGGTAGTCCGCAGGCTTGGAACGGACCATCGTCGTTGGTACTTGCTTTCATTTAGTGACGCGGTTGAGATGTCATCGTCGGATGGCTTGCCAATAATTTCCAAGCTTTTATTCTTGCATCATTTTCTTCTAACAGAGCTGAATAAGGACCATTTTAGTACAGAAAAATTTAGGAAATTTCGCTCCACTCCTGCTATTCTGATCTACTTTCTGAACTCCAGATGAAACTTGTGAAAGAAAACAATAAAAAGATTAAGTCATTATTTATTCGTTCCCTGACACCTTTATCTTAGCAAAAGATACATGTTTTCCATCAAAACAAACCGAAAACATTTTATCATAACTTTCTGGCTGGACTTTACAACAGCTGCTTGCTTCTCTTTCCCGGCTCATTCACCATTTCATTCAGTGCATGTTCTACATATGCTTAGCTTCTGATAATCTGAAAAAGCAGATGTTTTCGTTTTTGGAGGATCAAAACCTCAAAATGTGGCCCGTGGAAGTTTGGTAAGTATGTTTTTTTGCAAAAAATCAGTTCCCGTCTGCAAATTTGGTGTTTTATAAGCAAGTTTGAACTTGAGTCTCGTGAGTGTATGTAGATTGACAGTTTGATTTAACAAGCTACGAGATTTCGATTCAAGAAGTAGTGACAAAGTATGATGTAAAATCTGGCAAAAAAAAAAGAAAATGTCGATAGAAAAAGATAAATGTGGGATATTTTCTGTTTTCTTCGAACAAATGGATGCATTGGGCTTTTGGATGATTTCAGATATAAGAGCTATTTCACTTTTTGTTCTATACCTCCCTCTTCCCCTCCCCATTTCCTGCTTCCGCTTTGACGATGATACCTACTTCATACTAGTACCAAAAATAACATGATGTCATGCATTTAGCTTCGTTTCCGTTTGAAGGAAGCTATTCTTGTTTGCCCTTTTAAGCCTTGTCTCTATAATCATCAAACACCACGTCTTTAATACGGTACATTGGAGGTTTTTAATGAGTACTTTCGAGTTTTCACTTACCTCACCGACAATGTGCTCGATCAAGCATGTTAATGTTTGAGTTCAACTTCGTGCTATTTCGATGATGACGGTAGCATTTACACCCATTGAATTCTGTCTCTTGATTATGAGCTGACGCAAGGGCTCGTCAGTGTCTTGTGATCTATTAGGTTGGCTAATAAATAAGTTGGGTTGCTTTTTCAGCTCTTACAAATGTTGTAGACAAATTTTTGTCCAATATCTGGTATCTGTGAAAAGAGCACTTCACTGGGAATTGGACCATATATTCTGTTTGAGTAAAACTTATTTTCCAAGGAAAAAAATCCCCAAAGAAGTGAGAAAGCGCAACTTTCTCATAATGCGCAAAAATGAGAAAATTTGGTTTTCCTAGTGAAACATTTTCAGACTGGCAGATCAC